CTTTAATAACTATGGAGAAGGATGTGGGGGAGACAGGGGAATGACAGGAACTACCCCGTATCTTACTGTATGGGGAATGCTCATCCAATGTCCAAAGCCAGTTTTGAGGAATGCTACGTTGTGTGCTCTTTTGGTTTTACAGACCCACCATTAACAATGGGGAAACCCACCAATCAGTCATTACTTTTCATTCAATCACTGAGGACATCAGGCTGCCTCCAAAATGACTGCCATTGAAAACAGACGGGGAGATTTTGACCACTATTGCCTCCTTCTTCCAACAGAACATGCATGAATTTCTTTGCCTTTTTTCTAGGCTCTGGTGTGGTTAAATCTCCCTCTTGCTGGTTCGTTCTTTCTTGCTGTATAATTGCATCAAATGCTACCCTGTGTCCTTTCTTCTTTCCCTGTTGACTTGGGTAAGAGTCTGACTCTGACAAGCTTTCCTCCACGCTGCATGCACCCAGTCGCATCTTTTCTCTAAGTACTTGCCTCGACTACCTGGGCCACTCTGCTTACAGTGGCTTTGCATGGGGAAAATGTGCAGAATTTTAGTTCCGCTCTTTCCTTCTTGAAGAAACTATTTTTGACTTGGTAGTCTTAAATACATTTTCACAGGGGGCTGGCGGGATAGGTAAGTGGGTAAAGAGCTTGACTTGCAAGCATGAGGATCCAAACATCCATGACGGAGCTGGGGATGATGGACACGTGGCACGTGCCTGTAATCCTACCACTCCGGGCACAGAAACATGAGAATCCCAGGGCCCCTCTGGCCAGCCAGCCTAGGTCAGTCAGTGAAATTCAGATATAGTAAGAATCTCTGTCTCAGAAAATAAGGTGAACTGTCTGGCTGGAGAAAGGCCTGGCTCAAGCAGGTAAGAATACTGGCTGTTCTTCCAGGGGACCCAACTTGAAGTGACCAGGGAAGCCCCACCCAGGGCATCAGATGCCCTCTTCTGATTTCTGTGGGTATGTGCACTCATGTAGCATATATTCACAAAAACTCACACATATACACATAAATAAAATAAAAATAAGTATTAAAAACTAAGGTGGAGAGCAATTGAGAAAGACACCCAGCATTGACCTCTGATATGCATATAAGCGTATGCACGGACGGACACACACACACACACACACACACACACACACACACACACACACTCTCAGGGTTTCTGACTCCTGAGAGTTCATAGGCGTTACTACTATTGAAGTTATCTCATTTGTTCAGTCTGTCTGTCTCTCCACGAACACTGACAGGTAAGTCTTACGGAGCACAGACCTGGTTTATTTATCTCCTGGGCTGTAAGGAATGCCAACACCTCCCATTTGCTACCTGCTACTGCATAAGTTATCAAAAATTTAGAAGCTTAAGCGAATACCTATCTCACAGCTTCTGTAGGTCAAGAAGTGTGCTTCCAAGATGGTGTGCTCACAGGGCCTGGGCAATGCTGTGGCTGCTCAGGAAGGTTATGCTTGGCATCACATGAGCCTTTACCTGAGCACTGCTCTGGTGTCCTCAAGACAAGGCAAGAGCTCCCCTCACAGTGAGCAACTGTGAGAACAGAACATCTTCTGCACCTAGCCTTGAAGGACACATCTGTCATTTCCACCATGTGTGACTAGCTACACAAGTCAGCCTCATTCATTCAGGAAGCGGGTTTCTCAGGGGTGTAACTGTCATCTCCGGGGATGCCACACACAGGTAATCGTTATTTAATAAATAGATTTGTCGGGTCCCAAAGAAACCTGAGACAAGTCTCACTCAGTGCCTGTGGCTCCTCCCAGCACTTCTCATCCTGATTCCTACCCTGAACCTGTCCAGCCCAGGGACAGAGCTCTGTTTCCCTCAGCTTCTGATTCGCATATAATCCTGCCATAATGGCCATGCGCTCTCTTGGCCCTTTGGTTCTCAGTTTCTCTCATGGTCTGCTTGCTCTCTCTTCTCTCTTACTCCCCTCACCCCCACCTCTCATGGCCAAGTTCAATCTGGACCTTTGACTGTACTCTCCCTCATATCTACAATAAAACCCTTCTCCTCAACCATGCCTAGGAGAGGTCATGTCCTCATTTTCATTCAGTATTAAACTAATTGTGTCTAATTTTATAATTTAACTCTTCAAGAGGCATCTTATTTTCAAGTGTCTGGGAAGTATTCTCTCACTCTCTCAACCCTATTACCTGGATAGAGTATCCTATTTTATTCATAAAACAATTTTTATCATATTTGTGTGTGTGTGTGTGTGTGTGAGAGAGAGAGAGAGAGAGAGAGAGAGAGAATGAGAGAGAGAGAGATCATAGGACAACTTGTGGGAGTCTTTTCTCCCACTATGTGGGCCTGAAAATTGAACTCAGGTCACCAGGCCTGATGGCAAATACCTTTGTCCACTAAACCACCTCATCAGCCTCTCTTCATTTTATTTTTTAAAAAGAATACAAAAAAGGAACAGTCTATGTGCATTATGGTGACTATACTTTTTTACATATTCAGTTTGTGTATAGGACAATTGAGAGGGATGTTTTCCACTTGCAACATCTTAGAGATCCTGGGTGTTGGGATTTCCACCTACATCAGGACCCTGCTGGTCAGCACATCTGGCTCCTCTGTCTGGACAGGACTTCCCAGAGCAGCTTCACTGTGGTCTCATCTGAAAGCACTTCAGCTATGGGAAGAAAACAAGGGTGATTTCATTCCAGTGTCGCAGATGAGGACACCTGATGGGGATCCAGTTTTTCTGAGGAGTGGAACCAGAAGTGCAACCTTGGTGTTCTGATTGCTCTTATCAGAAGAGAGACTAAGGAGGCAATGTATCTTAAAAAAAAAAAAAAAAAGGGTGGAATACATTTCCAAAAGCAAGTACACCATCTCAGTGGCTTAAAACAAAAGAACTTGGTTCCTGCTCATGTAATCCAAAGTAGGGGCTGACTTTTCAAGGTGATTGCCTCCACACAAGGCAAGAACTTGCCCTCAGAAAGCTTCTTCAATGGCTTCCAGGGTTGAGATGCTTACTCTTGCCTGTCAGTTTGGTTGAGAAATATTTAGGAGGCTGATAAAGAAGCCATTAGTTAGAATAAACAAACTACTCAATAAACTACAGGTTGGGGAGTGCTCTGGAAGGTGGGGTGCACCTGTGTGTGCCATTCTGTGCTTGTGTGATTGAGAGGACAATTTTTGGCAATTGGTTCTCTTCCACAATGTAGGTTCTGGAGGTCCAACTCATATCGTCAGGGTCAGAGGCATGCTGCTTTGCACACTGAGACAGCTCACTGGCCCTTTCCCCATCTCTTGATTTTGTATAATGACCTTTTCCCATACCTCAAGAGTTTGTTTTTATACAAGTGGAGAGGACAACTAATGAAGAATACAAAGAGTGTGGCAATTCAGCTGGCTTACTTTTACTTCTTAAACTGGGTTTTGAGTACACAGAAGCTTGTGGGTAATGTTTTTTATGCTTTTCAGGTCTTAAATATTGCAAGGAGGTGGCTCAGAGGTTAAGAACACTGGCTTTTCTCCCAAAGGTCCTAAGTTCAATTCCCAGCAACCACATGGTGGCTCACAACCATCCATACTGAGACCTGGTGCGCAGGCAACACATGCAGGCAGAATGCTATATAAATAATAAGTAAATCTTTAAAAAAAATATTGCAAGGCAGTTTCTTAAAAGGGGGACTGTTTCTGAGTAGTGCTGTCTGTCTTTCTGTTTCTTGGTTACCTCACTCAGGATGATCTTTTCTAGTTTCGTCCATATGCCTGAAAATTTCATGATTTCCTTGTTTTTAATAGCTGAATAGTATTCTACTGTGTAGATATATCACATTTTCTTTATTCATTCTTTAGTTGAGGGACATTTGGGTTGTTTCCAGTTTCTATCTATTATAAATAAAGCTGCTATGAACATAGTTGAGCAAACGTCCTTATTGAATGGGTGGGCATCTTTTGGGTATATACCCAGGTGTGGTATAGCTGGATCTTGAGGTAGCACTATTCCCAACTTTCTGAGAAAGCACCAGATTGATTTCCAAAGTTGTACAAGTTTGCACTCCCACCAGCAATGGAGGAGGGTTCCCATTTCTTCACATCCTCTCCAGCATGTGCTGTTGCTTGAGTTTTTTACTTTAGCCATTCTGATTGGTGTAAGATGGAATCTCAGAGTTGTTTTGCTCTGCATTTCCCTGATGACTAAGGATGTTGAGCATTTCTTTAAGTGTTTCTCTGCCATTTGATATTCCTCTGTTGAGAATTCTCTGTATAGCTCTGTACCCCATTTTTAATTGGATTATTTGGTTTGTTGGTATGCAATTTCTCGAGTTCTTTATATATTCGGGATATTAGCTCTCTATCAGAAGTAGGGTTGGTGAAGATCTCTTCCCACTATTGGCATTCATTTATTTACATGTATTTACTTACCTTGCCTAGCAACCAAGCATAGATTAAATAACTTAATCTAAATTCACAGGGCTTATAAAGGGCGAAAGACTGGTTTTGAAAGCGCACATTCTAGTTTCAGGCTATGTAGTCGTGACACTGTAATACTTTCCCTATCAGATGGAGAAAGTATCTATCCGTATCTAGTTAAATTCGCATCTAGTTAAACTGGGGATTCAAAATATCTCTCCTGTAGCCACTAGTAGAGATGGCAACAAATGTTAGGTTCTGCCTACTGAGAAAACTCCTTTGCGAGAAGGGCGGAGTAAGGGAGGGATTTAAAAACTCCTAAGGGTCAAATTTCTCCTGCTTGCATAGGAAATCTAAATATATATATATATATAATTTGGGATCACGGCTATCTACGCTATTGATCCTGCCGTCACCGTCAAATTCCCCCCTGTACACAGGCGCGCGAGCACGCGCACGTACGCTCACACAGCCAAACTTCCAGGCGGGCCTGAGCGCTGCAGCGTGGAGGACCACGGGCAGGGGGCGCGCTCTCCCACAGGGCCGCTCCGTCTCGGGGTGCGCGCCCCTCCGCTCCTGGCTAGCTGAGAAGGCGGAAGCCGCGGCTGGGGCTGAGGCTCCGGCCGTCGGCGGACGGAGCGGCCCCGACCCTCGAGCCTGGAGTTTGGCGTCGGAACAACCCGGTCTGGGATCGCCGCGTGTGTCGGCGGCCCGGGGAAGCCATCCCGGTCGGCGGTGGCGTCTCGGCGTGCGCGAGCGGTGAGTGAGCGGCTTCGAACTTGAGTTCTGGCGGCCCGCGGGCCCCAGAGTGTCCCCCGCGGGACAGGGACGTGTCGCCACGGGCCTCCCAGAGACGGGGGCGGCCATCCCTCTGACCTCCCTCGGGTGGAAATCCGCCCCCTCTCCCCTCCAGTCCGGGTAGCCCTAGGACCCCCGGTCTCGGCCCAAAGCCACCTATGTCCCTGGCGTCTCGCAGATGCAGGATGCGCCCGCTGTCCTCCCACGGGCCGGGGCGCTCTCCTTCCCCTCCCCGTGGCTGCTCTCGCCCCCACAGGTCCTGGACCCTCCCCTGGATTTGGGAGTCTCTCCAGGCGTTCCTGTCGCCTCCCGGCTGACCGCATCCCACTCCTCAGCCCCTCTCATCCCCTCCTTGTGTTTCCCCCTTGCCTGGGAAGGAAATCGCCTTCTTGCTGGGTTTTCCCGTCCCTTTCAGCTTAAATTAAAAAGAAAAAAAGAAAAAAAAATCCCATCAATCTTCCAGAGTGCAGGGGAAAAACTTTCTGTGTTCCCTGTTTAATTCGAGAGAGGTAGCAAGTTAAAAAAAAAAAAAAAAAAAAAAAAAGTGATGACACACCAGTGTTCCTCCCCACCCCTGCACTCTAGCGATTGTTCCAGACACCGTGTTGCTAAAGCTGTTCCTAGTATTTGCCTTCAGGGGAACTCCAGATGAGACTTAGACTGTCTTCGTGTGTGGACAGAAAGCACCTAAAGCTTAGATGTATAGGATTTGCTTGTTTCTCTGAGAGCAGGTGATTAGCTTGCTACACAAACCTAGAAACGAGAACAACTTGTCACATCCCAAGTGTGGGCTTTGTAACTTGAGCTGCTGCCTCCTTTGATGATGCTCGGCGGTAAAGGGGCTTTTTTTGTGGGGAGGGGGGGTGGAGGGTGGCGTGTAGATGGTTTGGTGTCATGTGACTAGAGGAAAGTGTTTGAGCCCGTAGCTGGCCACATGATGGACACAAGAATCATATCTGAGTTTCAGCCTTCATGCACAGTATGTGCTACTTCAGAATCATAGCCTTGCTTTTCTTGCTTGTCTTGATAGATACTGCTAATAAATTTTGGTCACTTGGCTTCTTCGGTAAGCGATTGTCCAAAATCCTTGGGTTTTGGAGGAGCATACAATCCTTGAGTAAGGAAAAGCTCCTTGAATTTGGGCTAAAACTAAATTACATCAACCGAATAGAATATTTGTACCATTTCTTAACCTTTGTAGCTGCAGGTCTTTGCATTTTACAAATGGATGTTTGAGGACTTGGTACATGGTGTTAGTAAAGAAGTTTGGGTTTTTGTTTTTTATGCCATTATTTAGTGTTCTCGTGTGTGTGTGTGTGTGTGTGTGTGTGTGTGTGTGTGTGTGTGTAAGTGTGTGTGTGTAAGTGTGTGTGTGTAAGTGTGTGTAAGTCTTCTTGCATAAGCTCACCTGTGGAGGTCACAGGAAAAGTCACTTCCCTCATTTTTCCACCAACTGAGCCTGTTATAGTAGAGAATTAAAGGTAACTTGTCAGTATTCTTTCTTTCAGGTGGCTTTGATTTATGAATTACGCCAGCTGACTTAAAATATATGCTTTCAAGACATAACTTACCCATTTCTTTAGTTTCACACATCCTAGTGTTGGCATCTGGTTTTGTGGGTCACCCTACCCTGCACACAAGACATCTAGCAGCATTGCTTTGAATTCTAATGTATACGTAGATACAGATCTGTGATACAAGCCATGATTCTGACAAGGCTAATTTCATTATTTGCTCACTGTGTAGTTGAAATAGGTTGGTAATGATTACCACCTCCGTGGAATTCATTAAAGTGTGCCTTACTAGATTCTCAGGAGTAAACAATTGCAGCCATGAAGTACCAGGTAAAGAATGACTTGAATTTCATTCTGCCCCTTCTATGCATGGAGAAAGTCACCCAAATAAGTTTAGAAACAAAAAAGCTGTAAGAAATACTTCATTATTCCAAAGCATATTACCTTATTTTAGTGAGTCTGTAGCCTGATTTTATAGCAGCTCATAAAGGGAATCCCCAGAGCATAGTGTTTCTGCACATACCACATTATGTGCTTATCTCTGTAGCAGATTCTTCTCTAAATATTAAGCTATTCATTGTAGGAAAACTAGAGATATGACTTTTTTATATGTCATTGCAACATGTAAAAGTAAAGGGAAAAATACTTAAACTTACCCCAGAAGACTGTAAACATAAAAATACCTAATGGTACTCAACTATACTTGTTTTAGCTTAAATTCCCTAACGTTAATTCAATTACAGTTCAGTTACTATAGTTCTATTAAGGTATTGCAATATATTAAATACACACCCAAACACACACATGCGCACACACACCATAGGCTTTCAGGGTTATTATCAGAAGACATTATTTGGAAGACACAAAGTTTCTGTGTTCTTAAGGTATGGGAAGTAATGAAAAAAACCTGATATTGCTTAGATTTTTTTTTTTCTAACAATAATACTACTGTTTTTTTTTTGTTTGGTTTTTTTTTTTTTACCATGAGAGCTGGAGTGTGTGTGTGTGTGTGTGTGTGTGTGTGTGTGTGTGTGTTGTGTTTGGTAAACCAGTGACTTTAATTAGGATTTTCCCTTGGGAGCATAAGTGAGGGTTTCTTTACAGGAGCATATACAACCTCACAGTGGCTACACTGCCTCAGAAAATGTTTCTCCTCCAGCAGCCTTTAACTGCAAATGAGACTCAGAGAAGGGTAATGCTTTGTGAACTCTTCCCCCAACCTTGGCTATGTTCCCCAACTTGAAAATGTTAAGGAGGGATCTTTATCTTTTTAATTAATTAGTTAATTAATTAATTGTATTTATGTATGTGTGTATGTGTATCTGTATGTCTCGTGTGTGTAGCCCACAGAAGCCAGAAGGTGTCAGATCTCCTGGAGCTGGAAGTATAGGCTATTGTAAGCCTTCTGACATGGGTCCTGGGACCAAACTTGGGTCTTCTGGAAGAACTGCGTGTGTTCTTAACCGCCAAGCCATCTCTGCAGCTACCAAGGAGGGATCTTGAGCAGGTAATCTGCTGCTGACAGAGTTCAAGAATGCAATGGCCTTGTCAGTCCCAGAAGACAGCCGTCCCCTTCACACCTTCCTTATGTTTTTGTCTCTCCTTTGTCCATGGATGCTTGTTATAAATTTTGATATAGTTTGGTGGGTTGTTGTTGTTGTTGTTTTGAAACAGGGTTTCTCTGTATAGCCCTGGCTATCCTGGAACTCACTCGGTCAAGCAGGCTGACCTCAAACCCAGAAATTGCCTCTACCTCAAGTACTAGGACTAAAGGTTTGTGCCACCACTACTCAGCTGCTTATGTAGGTTTTTAAGAGTGCACTTACAGCCTGGTATGGTGGCTCGTGCCTTTAATCCCAGCACTTGGGAGACAGAGGCAGATGGATCTTTGTGAGTTTGAGCCAGCCTGGTCTATAGAATGACTTCTAGGGTAGCCAGGGCTACATACAGAAACCCAGTCTGGGGGGTGGGGAGGGCACTTACAGTACTCTCCTTCAGTGGAAATCCTTTTAAGGAATTGTTGCTGCCAGGCATGTTTTCCTAGGAACATGTAGTTCATAAAATAACTCTAATCAGATGACATTCAAGCCTTGAGCTGGACGGCAAGAAAGCAGTAGAGAGGATGTCTGTAACCTGATTTTAAACTAAACGTGTGGCAAGAAAGGAAGGCTAAATTCACTCGTGTTTGTCATCTGGCTAGCACTTAGATATGTGCTGTGCAGCTCAGTAACAAATATAAATGTCTCAGAAGTGACGTTACTAAGCAAAGCAAAACAAAACAGCTTGCAAGTTTACAGGTTGAACTGTATCCATTGTTATCAAGGGTATATAAAATGGGCATTCTTGTATATGCTCTCGAGTGAAGATTGGAAATCCTTTGATATATACTGGATAAGCAACATCACTTACCAGAAAAAATTTTTAAATTACATGCCCTTTGACCCAACACTTCTACATTTAGAAAACGTGACTAAGGATGAAGGTACAATTCTACATTTAGAAAACATGACTAAGATTGTGCATGAAAAGGAACATAACAAAATCTATAATCCATAGTTTGGCCTAACTATCATTGTCCCCAAATGTGAAGGCAGTAAAGGAGATCTTAAACTTAGTCCTTGGACAAAGGCATGCATGGCTAGTTCTGCTGTGTGTCACTATCTCTTAATCCCCTTGTCTTCCAGTCTGAATGATCCATTCCTAGGAGCTCACATTGGAAATGGCAAGGCTTTGGGAGATAACTTCAACTTTTCAAAATTGCATCAAAAATAAACTGGGGTGAAGTCTCTGTTGGATCACTGGAGTTCTATCATAATGCTGGACAACACTTAAAAAGAAATGAATCTTAAATGACTTTTGTCAAAACAAAGTAGTACAGAAGTGGCTAAGCTCTGGGGTCAGGTAGACTTTAGGGTTTGATCCAGCTCTGTTGCTTCACTGGTGATCTTGGGCAGGTTGACCTATTTAAGCTTCATTGTTTCGCTCTGTTAAGCATAAAACTGTCTGAAATAGTAACTTGTTCTGATAGCCAGGTACAGCTCTCAGGATTAACACGTCATCCTCGCAGGAACTCTTAGATAGAACCTGTTACAACCTCATTTGACAAGAGAGGAAACTGAAGAATAGCAGGATTATCCACTCAAGTTGTGACCAAGTGACTGAGAAAGGCCTGGATTTAGACTGTCCAACTTAGCCCTGAGCTCTGCACTGTGCCACAGTACTGTCATGCAGCCAGAGCACTGCCGCTCTTAGGTTTTGGTGTTTTGTTTCGTTTGTTTTAAGATTTATTTTATTTGTCATTATTTATATGTGTGTCTACTACATGTGAGTTAGGTGATTATAAATGCCAGATCCCCTGGAGCCAGAGTTACAGGTGGTTGTTATCCACCCAACATGTGAAGGAATGAAACTCAGGTCCCCTGGAAGAGCTTGTAACCTCTGAGCCGTCTTCCAGCCCCTCCTATTTCTTTGTAGGTGTCTATCACATAATGATGAGATGGCTTGAGGCGTCTGGAAAAGTGGAAAGATTGTGATGTGGGTACCCATCTTTATTTCCAGGGGATCGCACCTAGAGCCTCACGTGCCAGACAAGTCCTCTACCATTGGGCTGTTTCCATAGCCCTCTTTGGACTGTTCTGAAGCAAGGTCTCACTAAGTTGTCTGGAATTCACCATCCTCCTGCCCTTGCTTCCCTAGTAGTTGGGGTTACAAACCTGCCCCATAGGCCCAACTGAGAACTTCCTTCTTTTTTTTTATTATTGTTATTATTATTGGGGGAGGGGTGATACATTTATGTATTGCTGTGTGAGAGAGGAATAGGTCTGAAGGTCAAAGGATAACTTGTGGCTTCCAGAGATTGAACTCAGGTGGTCAGGTTTAGAGACAAGCACTGTTCTGATAGCTACTGCTTAATCCTCCATTTGACAAAGTGGCAGAGTTTTGATACAGCCAGACATAGAGAGGTAATTGTCTGCTGTGTTGGCTAAAGGTTTGCATTCTGCTTCTAGAAGTATAGTTTACATTAGGTTTTTCCTCAAGGATAATTATCTAAGCTAAAGACATGGCTGGTTATAGGTGTTACAATTTGCTTTTACATGTTCACATCTCACGTATGTAACATAACAGTTTAAAATTTGAAGGCAGCTCTCTGTTCCTAGTAACAATAGTTTTCCATAGGCAAAGAAACCTCACATGTTTTTCCAGTCATTAGTAATGAAACATGGTCATCTGACTTGGCTGAAGGCAGGAGACAAACATAAACTTTTAAATCCCATTCTTTCCATATACTAGAAATGGCCACACTGAGCATTTAGAAATCTTCATGGAATTTTAGATACAGAAGAAGAAACAAAGTTCCGAGTGGTTTCAGTTACTTGCCCCAGATCACACAGCCACTACTGGCTGGTGTTTGGTCACTTGGTTCCCTGCTGGCTGCACTGTTCTCTTCAGCTCAGAATAGCTAACAGATCTTCAATATGACATAAGGAACTTCCTCGGGGCTGGAGGGATGGCTCAGCCATTAAAGTCTAGGCTCACAACCAAAAATATAAGAACTTGTGAAAAATCCTGCACTGTGGTCTGGGCATGACAGTGCTCTCAGTCACTATAAACAGGAATAGAGGAGAATGATGTGACTGGAGCACTGTTCTTTTTTAACCTTCTGTTGTCGATACATTACACCAGGACCTTCCCTTAAAGAGTCGGTCTAGTCTTTGTGTTCTGCATAGGTAAATCATAAACATTTTAAAGGAGGGAATTCACATAACTTACCATGAAGTGGTAGTCATATGAAACAAAGCTCAAAACACTTTAAAAGTTATTTTGTAAATAATATTAAAAGTGTGTGTGTCCTGGGTGACTAGTATAGATAAGCTGTAAGTTGCATGTAAAAGCATTTTTGTTGTTGTTTTTCTTTTGCTGTGTTTACAGATCGACTGATAACGAAGCTACTATGAGTCTGTTAAACTGTGAAAACAGCTGTGGGTCCAGCCAGTCCTCAAGTGACTGCTGTGCTGCCATGGCCACTTCCTGCAGTTCTGCAATGAAAGACGACAGTGTGAGTGTATCTACCTCCACGGGGAACATCTCCAGCTCCTTCATGGAAGAGATCCAAGGATATGATGTAGAGTTTGACCCACCTTTGGAAAGCAAGTATGAGTGCCCTATCTGCTTAATGGCGTTACGGGAAGCAGTGCAAACACCATGTGGCCACAGGTTCTGCAAAGCCTGCATCATCAAATCCATCAGGTATCTGATTTTAAGAGAGAACAGTGCCCTATAACAACCAGATGCAAAGAGCATGTCAGAAACATGCTAAGAACAGGCAGACAGGGAAATCTGCTCTTGTGAAAACGGAGTGGACAGAAAAGTTAGATAGGTAGGGCCCTATCCCAGTATATACTGCAGTATGAAAGGAGACTTCTGTGTCTTCTCCTCCTTGACCTCCAGCTAAACTGGAGAGTGAATAGCTACTTCCGCTTCAAGCAGTTCTAATGCAGACTAGGGGAGGATTCTATGGTTCATGAAAGTAGTATTTTTAACTTGCCTTGAATTATGCTACTACAACAGTAGCTTTCAGCCTGTGAGGTCAAAACTCCTTTGGAGGTCGGAACAACCCTTTCACAGGGGTCACATATCAGATATCCTGCATATCAGATATTTGCATTATAATTCATAACAATAGCAAAGTTACAGCTATGAAGTAGCAACAACAGCACTTTTATGTTTGGGGGTGTTCACCAGAACATGCAGAACTAACTGTATTAAAGGGTCGTAGCAGTAGGAAGGTTGAGAACCACTGTATGATAAAGCCAACCAGGTGAGGAATGCTGATTCTGTGAGTGATCATACACTCTGTTTTAAGCTGTGGTGAGTTCTGTTGCCTCCTGTCTGTGAGCAACTGTAAAATGACCAGCGTTTCCTTAATCCAATCCCTTCTCTCTGCTACTACTGTTGCACCCCCTCACACAGCAATATATAAATGTATTGCTTGACTTGAGCTCTCACAGGCCTTCCTCCTAGCCTTGCCTTCTCCCAGTCTTCATTACAGCAGAGTGGCCCTGGTGTACAAGTCAAATGATACCTCCTTGGCTTAGAATGCACTTCATGAGATCTTGGAGTAAGATTCCTTGGAAGGACATCTGATTCGTTTTCTGCCCTCCAAGTGCTCATTCTTGATGCTGTTCATTGTACAAGTCAGTCACGATCCTGTCTCGTTGCTGGAGTACACCCATAAATATTGCCACAACCCTGCTTGCCTTCTAGCACTCCAGATCTTTGTTACCAGGCTATTCTCTTGCTTTTTCCCTAGCACTTTTGCTGTTGAGCACCGAATAACCGATGTGTTTGGTCTGCTTCCAGCACTGGAAAGTTGTTCCTTGAGACCGAGATCTTCGGTTTTCTCTAGTTACAGGAGCAGTGCCTTCCCCACAGTAGCACTTAGTATGGGAGTGTTTCAAGTGGATTGAAACATACAAGTTCTTCATTCAGTTCAACTAGGTCCCTCCTCTTAGGTTCCATTACCTCCACACTGACCAACAGACTGTGAGCCCACATATGGATTAGTCCACTGAGGAGGTCAGAGCCCTCTTGGAGTTCCAGTCACCTCTCCAAAGCATTGAGCATTGCTGCATCAGGGACCAAACTGAAATGATTCCTAAGTAGGCTAAGGCTATCTTGGCTACTCAGTGGTCTATAAATTTTTATCTCAATTTCTGTACCAGCTTTTCAATAAAACTTGAAATTAAGGTCGCCATATCCATACTTGGGGCTTGAATTAAGATGCAAGGGAACAACACATCTCTTCGGTTTGAGGGGAAATGTGCTGCCTAGCATTAAATTAATAAGAGTTGTAGAGGAAAAGGTTGATTGTTTGTGTTTGTTTTCCAGCCGTGGCACTATAGATATTTGGGACCAGATAATTCTTTACTGTGGCAGAGTGTCTTCTCCCTGTTAGACCATTAGCTGCATGCCTGTTGTGCGTTGCTAGATGCTAACAGTATCACCTTCAGTCTAATATGTGAGATCATAGTGTCTCCTGCGTCCTCTGGTTTAGAACACAGCAGTCGGTGCTTAAGGCTCATTCTTCTGTATATGTTTTAATATAACTAGGTTTAAATGGTAGCACATGTGACATGCTGATTTCTTATAGGTAGAAATGTGCACTGTTTTATCAAGTGTCCAGGAGAATAGCTAGGTGATCTTTAGATATCTCTGTAGCAAAGTATTTTGAAAGTTGTAGGACAGTGACATGAAAAAGAAACAAGTCTCACAAAAGGAAATTTGAGGCTTTATTCCCCCATTTCCTTCAAAGCTAGTAATAGCTGCCTCCTATTGATTTCATGCTCTTAGAAAGAACCACTATAAATTCTTCATTCAGTATCATTTAAGAAATCAAAATGGATCTTGGTCTAATTTCATCTTCTTTGGATTATCTAAAACTATGGGTGATGATTTTAGATTTACTTTGTAAACTTCTTACTTTTTCTTAGATATGTATGATTTATTCCTGGCTTTCTACATTTTAAAAGTATCTGACAGTTTATTATGGGTTGGTTTTTTGTTTTTTGTGTTTTTTTTTTTTTTTTTTTTTTTGAGACAGGATACATAGTACTGGCTGTCTAGAAGCTTCCTTTTTAGACAGGCCGGCCTCCAACTTACAGAGATCCTACACCTGGCATGTATTATATAATCTTAAACAGGCCCCATAAGGATCATCCCTGGACCTCCCTTTGATTAGTTCTGTGCTGTATGTTCGCAAACTCCATGTCCAGTCATAGCAGCAAGCACTGTTGAGGACATGTTTCATTGATTGAATAAGGCTCCTGTGGCCTACCTGATTACCACATTTTGTGAGACAAGATTGAAACCCCCTTAGATGGCTGGAGAAATGGCGATGTGGTTAAGAGTATTTACTGCTCTTGCAGAGGGTTCAAATTCCATTCTCAGAACCCCCTGTAAGGTGGTTTATAACTGACTGTAACTACAGCTTCCATAGGATCCAGCACCTCTGCTTATACCTATCCACAGAAACATACACAAAATTCAAAATAAAGATAGAATCTTAAAAAGAAATTCGACTCCAGACATCTTGCGTGGTACACACCTTTAATGCCAGCACTCGAAAGGCAGAGGCAGGTGGATCTCTGTGAGTTCAAGACCAGCCTGGTGTACACAGTGAGTTCCAGGACAGCCAGGGCTACATAGTGAAATTCTGTTTGGGGGGGGGGGGGGGGGGAGGAAGGCATATATTTTGAGAGGAAAGGCAGATTCCTCAGCTTCCTGAAGATGTTTTTTCCCACCATAAGAATATACTGGCATGCCAACACAGAGGCCCTATAACACTCTACTATAGTTCACTCTACATATGCAAATAAAATCATCCTTTTGTTGCTCAGGAACTGGAGTAATGAGGCCTCATTTCATAGCTTCCCAGAGACCTCAGAAGGATCCTGCTAACTCATTCAACTTTTGTTTGTAACTAACCAATAAATTGTCCATGTTGCTAATATTATGAGCAGCATAGTCTGTCTTCTTGGTAGACTCTAGGTATTACAAAGCACAGGCCAGCCAGATTGCCAGAATTTATCCCTAACTAAACTTCACTTGATGTTATGCCAATCAAACTGATTTAGTCAATGTTTTGCTCATTTTCTAACTCAAATCTATGCCACAATCTGTAATGTGTTAGCTTTTGATAGATAGTCAGTGCTAGTTTGCGTTCATTTCATAAATGAGTTCATAAACTCAACAGTACACATACCATTTTGGTGTTGCTGTGCAGTGTAGTGCATTCTGTTGTTTCATATGGAGAACTGAAGTTAGTTCTCCAACGTGGATGGTTTAGGATACTCACTAAGTTCTAAGTTCTCTTCTTCTCTTAGGGATGCAGGTCACAAGTGCCCAGTTGACAATGAAATACTGCTTGAAAATCAACTGTTTCCTGACAATTTTGCAAAGCGAGAGATTCTTTCCCTGACAGTAAAGTGCCCAAATAAAGGCTGTTTGCAAAAAATGGAACTGAGACATCTCGAGGTATTAAGGATGTTTTCTGGCTGTTGTCATAATTGTCATCTCTCAAGCATAATGATTTTGCTTTGTATTCTGTGTATTATTACAGCTAGCAGATCAGGAATGGCTAATAAATTCTTGCCAAATACTAATGACCCTTTCATCATTGAATGTAAAAAAGAAAAAAATAGAAAATTTTTTTTTCGTTCTGTTTTGGCTTCATCCCAGCGATAAAAATAAGTCTGTGTTCTTGGGAGTTTTTCAGATCAGGACAGCTACAGTATAACATTTGTATAGCTCCTTAATTGCAAGAGTTACATTTTAACCCTATAACTTTATTCCTCTCCTTTTGAAATAAAACAATAAATGTCTTATAGTCATCATCTCAGTACCTTCTTCATACTTTCAGTTTCTAAATTGCATATTGCATTATTCACTAAATAAAATGTTTATATATTTAAGAATTATCTGAAGCAATGAGATAATTTTCTTTTTAATTAAAATAGATCAATTCTTTGATTTTTCTTAACCAAAAATCAAATATCAGTAATAATGAATGTTTAGGGCATATTTGAAATCTGTCCCTTTTATTTAGCTCTTTCTCTTTTTTAAAAAATATTTATTTGTGTTTGTGTGTATGTGTGTGTGTGATTGTATGCCATGTGTGTGCAGGTGCCCATGGAGGCCAGAAGAGGTGTTGGATCCCCCAGAGTTATAGGCAGTTGTTATCAGCCCAGTGTGAGTGCTGAGAACAGAATTCAAGTCCTCTTGAAGAGCAGCAGTCACTTTTAACCACTGAGCCACCCTTTCAGCCCTTTTTGTGGGAGTGACCCTTTTAGGACAGTACAAATTACTAATCTAGAAATCTAAATTCTTTCTAAAACTTCCCTACCTGGAAGTTTTGTGACCTCAAGACTTCACATTCTTTTTATAAACGATATCCACAATTATTATTTGAAAGACTCCATTAAAGTCTTCATACTGTGTATAGCTAGAGAATGTGGGCTTTAGTCACGGTTCTAATTTGGTTTCTCTGACCAAAAACAGTTTAGGGTAAGTAAGGGCTTATTTGGCTTACAGTTCCAGATCCTGGGCTGTTACTGAGGAAGTTAGGTCTAAACCATAGAGAGAAATTAGAGTAATACAATTTGCTGGCTCACTCACACGTCCTTACTCAGCCAGCTTTTTCATACAGTCTAGGCCTGCGCAGGGAATGGTACCACTCCCAGTGGTCTGGGCCCTCCTACATCATTTAACAGTCAAGACAGTCCCTATAGACATGCCCACAGGCCAGTATGATCTGAGCAGTCCTTCAGTTGACACTCCCTTCTTGGGTGACTTGGGTTATTTCAAGTTAACAATTAAAACTAATTCTGAAAGAAAAAATTGTATTCTTAAAAGAGACTGTCTCTATAAAACTTTTTTAGGGTTTTCAAATGCTAATAATTTGCTTTATACAGGATCATCAAGTCCATTGTGAATTTGCTCTAATGAATTGTCCTCAGTGCCAACGTCCTTTCCAGAAGTGCCAGTTTAATACACACATTATTGAGGACTGTCCCAGGAGACAGGTTGCCTGTGTAAACTGTGCTGTGGCCATGCCCTATGAAGATAAAGAGGTATGTTAACTGCATTTTAAGTGACCATTGGATGGGCTAGTATTAGAGAAGAATGTAACTGCAAAAAATGAATTCACATTCTCAGCTTTTACAAAATAATTTTAAGAAAGAAATGAACTTTCAGAGAACCCACAGTTCATAAGCGTGGAGTTTGCGTTTTCATATCCTTAAAAAGCATTTTAATCTAGTTACTGGGAATGAACAAAAGCTGCTAGGGCAGGTATATGCTGGTTTATTTCCCTTTCTGAACTTTAATGTATAATGTGATTGCAGGCTAACAAGTAGTATGATTACTATGTAGGCTTTATCCACATAGAATAGCTCATAAAGAATGTGAGCTATTGCATCTGTAAGAAACAATTCATTAAATACAGCAAAGTGTGTTTCACAGATGCTATGTCATTGACTTCATTCACTTTTTAATATGCATATTGTACTTCAGTTAACCTTTAAAAGGAAGCATTATGGTGCCTCGCCATAAACCAGTTGTTTTTATTCAGTTGGGATGTAAAGAGGCTAACTAGTTTCATTGCAGTTGTCAGTGTCCCAGCAACATTGAAATCCTACCCTTCGACTCTTAATAACCTGCATTATTTTATGCTCTTTTGTAACTGATACTCAGTTACTTCCTTAAACTTCTGTTCTTCTCAATTAGTTCCTTAGAAAATTGAGCGTTTTATATTTAGTATGTTGATAGTCAAAAGTCATCTAACTTGCTAATAATAAATATATAAAGTCTCATTCATGATTGGAACTAATTTGTACCTTTTTCAACTTGAATCGATGAGGAAGGTAGGTTGTCTATTTTTTGGCATATCAGTTAAACCAAAGCTACTGTGTCCTAGAAAATGGGACTCCCCCTTCTGAGAACTTAGGCACCGAACTTTGTGCCCTAATGCTTGTTTGTTCGTTTGTATACTTTAACTTACTGGAAGTAATTGTTAACTTGTCATGCTACTGCTAAAAACTTTTGCTTTTGGAGAACTAAAACACCATGAAGTGCTATCCATGCTAATCAGGGGTACTCTGCCTCGAGTTAAAAGAAATGGCCTAACTAACTCTGTTTTGCATGCTGACATATTCTTTGAAGGAGTCTGAAGATTGGGCCTCACTAACTAGCAAAAGCCTCACACTTAACTCTACATCAACAAATGCCCTTCGTTTGCTCACAGTGAAAAAAATTACTATCTATAAAAATCAGTCTTTGTACTTTTTCAGATTTTCTCATATCTTAATTCTCTCATACAACCCAGATCCATGATCAGAGCTGTCCTTTGGCAAATATCATCTGTGAATACTGTGGTACAATCCTCATCAGAGAGCAGGTAGGACTCTCGTTTGCAAATCACTGTTTCCTTAAGAGCTGAAAGAACTGCTAGGGTTTTTTAAATTCATAATTTAAATCAATAAGGCAAAATTAGTATATGTTTAAGCATTCTACTGTACAAGTATAAAAATTAATGTAAGTAATAAATATTTCAAAGGAACAAAAATTATCATTTTTAGGTGCTTAAAATTCCTGAGTCATTTGCATGATACTTTATATGTAGTTATATGAATTCCATTGGTAAGCCAGGCATGGTGGCATACACCTTTGATCTTAGCACTCAGAAGGCAGAGGCTGGTTGATCTCTGTGAGTTCAAAAGCAGCCAAGGCTCCCAAGTACAGGCAAAGAAATGAATCAAAACTGAACCAAACTGTTCAGATCAAAACAACTGAAAGTAAAAGGCCACTTAAAGAAAAGCCAGACTTGTAGAGGAACATACTTACACATTGAAATGAGGGCCCGATTGCCTGAGACTGGCTGAGACAACAGGGAAATAGGAGAAAGCTCATCTGCTCAGTGGCACAGCACTGTGCTGCGCCAGTGCCTGGAGCATGCAGAGGGCTTCCGGAACCGTAGCCTCCCCAGCCACGGTGAACGTCATTAAAGGCAGCAGCTGTAATAGGAAATGTTATATTTTTAATTTATTAGTAAAGAAAGGAAAATTACATCCGGTTGCTCTCTATTGACATTTAGGGAGTTTACCCACAAGGGATGAATATTAGTCACTAAATCTGTGTGTGCCCAAAAATGTCTGTACGTGAAAAGACCCACTGATTATCATACTGGTAGAAGAAGCATAGGACCCGCCCCTTGACTAAATGTTTCCATGTCTCTGTTAGGAAAGTAGTGTTTTTCCAAAAATCCTAATTTGAAAGTGTTAAATATTTGCTTATGAAATCATCTCACACTCCTGGTTTTCTTTTTTGTTTTCAGTTAATATTTAAAGAAAACTGTTGTACAAACGTTCAACAAAGATGAAATTTAATAAAGACAGAAACCGTAAATGAAACACCAGAAAAACTGATCTTTGATTTTCGATGTGACATTCACTTCACCTCAACCCACAACTATGGCTCAATATCTAGAGAAAACTGGGCTCTACTTTCACTCATTTTCCTCCCTCCCTCTTCCTGTCCTTCATCCCTTTTCTCCTCCTCCCTTTCTTTTTTCCTTTACTTTCTCCTTTCTGTGCTACGGCTTTCCATCCCAGGTCCACACATGCTAGGCAAAGTGTACTCCACCAGTGAGCTGCCTGTCCAGCCCCTTGCTACCTTTTCTGTGTTTTGTTGGTTTTTGGTTTTTTTGAAACAGAGTCTCTCCGTGTAGCCATGGGTGGCCTAGAATTCACTGTGTAGACCAGGCTGGTCTCATACTAACGGAGATCCACCTTTGGGTGCTGGGATTAAGGGCATTTGTCATCATACCAGGCTAGCTTGGTACCATTTTTAAAATATGTTCTCCTTTAATGCAGCTCACCCTATAGAAGGTACCTTTGACCCCCAAATCAAAAACTGAAATTTCTCTGCCATGTCACCATGGTGCACATGACTGTCCTGGCAGATGTTCTCACGAGCATCAGCAATGCTGAGAAGAGAGGTCCTCAGGCTGTGCTCCAAAGTCATTGTTCAGTTCTCAGCTGTGATGATAAAGCATGGCTACTTGGTAAATTTGTGATCACTGATGATCGCATAGCTGGGGAGGTCATTATGAACCACACAGGCAAGTGTGGAATGGTCAGCCCTAGATTTGACAGCTCAAAGACAGAACAATCGACCCTCATCCTGTCAGTTTTGCTTCATGGTACTGACAACCTCAGCTGGCATTGTGGACCACAAAGCAAGATAAGAGCACAGAGGCAGGAAAATCCTGGGATTCTTTTTCTAGAGATGTAAAACCCATAAGAAAAAGCCTTTGTGGACTGTGCTTGGGGTCAGTCTTTTTGAACCTTTCCAGCAGAATAGCAAATACCCAGCAGCATTGGTTGTACTGACTGGTGACACTTCTCTTGAAGCAACTAAGACAGTCCTGTGACCACACCTTCACCAGAGTTGAGGCTGGGTGCTGTGTCCAGCCCAGGATGGTTGTGACTCTACCGTAAAACAGCCAAGGTCCCCGGTAGAACCAAAATATGCCAGGATTTCAAAGATAAGATGATCTATGAAAGATTGTCATATGGGAAGTAATGGATCTATTCAGTGGCTTTATTGAATGTCTTATTGAATGTCCTATACCACAGAGAGAAGGCTTTGAGTTTGCTCTGAGTTGTCAGGAGCGTTTCCTTGAAAAATGCCACAAGAGGGCACCAGTTCCCTACAGTAGAAATAAACTCATCTTAAGAAATGAAGTTTAGTGAATTGAGAGGTGATATTATAAGGTGTTAATGTTTAATTTGTCTCCAGTTGTGAAGAAGCCACTGGTAATACATAGTCTTGCTAAGCGTGAGGTAATTTTATTTTTAAGTGTACTATCATCTTCTAGAGCATGATATGCAGGGAAGACATTCTTCAGCCTTCTTTTTGATTTTCAGATGCCTAATCATTATGATCTAGACTGCCCAACCGCTCCAATCCCTTGCACATTCAGTGTTTTTGGCTGTCATGAAAAGGTACGTTTCTTTGAATTCTGAAATATGAATTTTAAAAATATATACTCAGATCTATGGCCTATTGAAGAATACTAACAAATTTAAATTTAAGTTTTTATAAAACATCTATATAAACACTGTTGATGTAAATTATTATGAATATCAATGCAATTAAACACAGATACTTACCAGTGGCTGAAGTATTTAGGTAGGCATGACTGAACATGTTTAGACTAAGTCTTTGTCTTTTTTAATTTGTGCGTATACACACATGGGCACAAATGCACATCAGTATGTATGTGGGTAGGTGTGTCCTGGCATTCATGTCAAAGGACAGCTTATGGGAGTGAGTTCTCCCTTTCCACCATGCAGATCCCAGGGCATCAAAGAGTTGTCCTTCTGGGTGGCAGGCACCGCTGAGCCATCCTACCAGCCTGTGGACTGAATCTTAACAGGTGGGATAAAACAATGTTCCTGGCAGCCCTGGACAGTGGCTCAGTAGTTCCTAGCACTAGCCTACATCCGATGGTTCACAGAGGCCTGGAGCTCTAGCCCCAGAGGATCCTCTGGCCTGTGTAGTGCCTGCATTCACATGTACATCCCAAACACAGACATACACACTTACCCATCGTTTAAAATAAAATAAAATTTTACAAAAAAATGAAGTTCAAGAAGACAAGGGAAAGTGAGTAAGTGTGATTTATTAAAGTATTGTTTTGTCTTAGAGTTTCTCTTCTTTATTTATTCAACCCAGCAACAACATGGGAGATCTAAAGTAGAATAAGGAAAATCAGCATCTGAGATTTTTCACTAACAGTTTCCAAAATAAGGGCAGCAAGAGTAATGAAAGTGAGTGGAGAGATGTAGGAGCCCAGACATGTTCAGGAGGGAAGGTCGAATAGTAAGTAGATAGCAGTAGAAGAGAAGAGAGGGTCATCCAGAATGACTGCAGGTTCCTAGCCTTAGTCACTGGGTCAGAGGGAAAGACTTGAACAAAAAGAGTGAACACAGGCAGAACCATACAGGTGGGAGCTGAAGAAGAACAAAAGGTGTTTCAATGGTATTGAGTCTTCTAGCTCTGGCCCACTCGAATGGAGATAGCCCATGTGTACCTTAGAGCTCTGATTCGGGAGAGTAAGAAAGATCGGAAGTGGTATTGCAGAACTACAGAATGAGCAACACAGGAAAGAGAAGTAAACTATTCACAACAAGCGATCCAGTGAGGGGCAGTCCTGCCGCTGTCTTCCAGGTTAGCTTCCGGAAGCGGACTCCATGTGAAGTGTCTGACAGCTCACTGAGTGTGTTGGCCTTGTTCCGTCTGGGGTTTGCAACTACATATTTGCTTCCCTCTCTACTTTTACAAAATACTATAATAAAAATACCTCACAGTTTAAAAGATAAAACAGAATCGTAACACATATTTAAATGTTATAAAGAAATTCTGTAGTGTATACATAGAAAAAAACTTGAAGTATATTAAAATATTAATAAAGACAGGTAATCAGTAGCCTTTTTCTTTTTAGTCACCTATATGTTCTATTTGTAATATGTGTTGTTTTGTAATTATGATTATCATGAAACATTTAGGATTTTTGATGATCTTAGAATAGTATGGAAATGGCAGTTTGCAAAAAGTCATCATTGAAGTGGGAGCTAAAGACTTGATAGGCAGGCTCAGGTGGTTTTAAAGGAAAGGGGAGAAAATGATATTAACTAAAGGAAGCATGATCTAATGCAAAGATTTATTAGTACTATATGTTATGTTTGCATTAATCGGTATTAAATATTATGTATTCTGAGGAGCGAAACATTAGAGGAAGAGGAGCATGTGGAAAAGAGACCTGTGTGTTCATTGTCTTTGATCAGCAAAGAAGGATGAGTATAGATGCTATTTTGACAGAAGGGAGAGTTATCGGAGTGACAGCTGAGAGTGGTCATCAGTTAGCTTTAGTACAGGATTATTTCATTGGATCGGGTGACAACAAAGAAGTAATCAAGGCTTGAGAGAAATTGTGATGCGGCTTTTCAAACCTTTTGTCTGGCTGGCTAGGTCCTCCTCGTCCTCAGTGAGTGTGCTCCCGGCTTACAGCTTGTGCTTGGTTTCAGATGCAGAGGAATCACTTGGCACGACACCTGCAAGAGAATACCCAGTTGCACATGAGACTGTTGGCCCAAGCTGTTCACAACGTGAACCTCACTCTGCGTCCATGTGATGCTTCCTCTCCGTCCCGGGGTTATCGTTCAGAGGACCCAAATTATGAGGAAACTGTCAAACAATTGGAGAGCCGCCTAGTAAGACAGGACCATCAAATCCGGGAGCTGACAGCCAAAATGGAAACTCAGAGTATGTATGTAAGCGAGCTCAAACGAACCATTCGAACCCTTGAGGACAGAGTTGCTGAAATGGAAGCACAGCAGTGTAATGGGATTTACATTTGGAAGATTGGCAACTTTGGAATGCACTTGAAATCCCAAGAAGAGGAAAAACCTGTTGTCATTCATAGCCCTGGATTCTACACAGGCAGACCTGGGTACAAGCTCTGCATGCGCCTTCATCTTCAGTTACCAACGGCTCAGCGCTGTGCGAACTATATATCCCTTTTTGTCCACACAATGCAAGGAGACTACGACAGCCATCTCCCCTGGCCCTTCCAGGGTACAATACGCCTTACAATTCTTGATCAGTCTGAAGCAGTAATAAGGCAAAACCATGAAGAGGTCATGGATGCTAAACCAGAGCTGCTTGCCTTTCAGCGACCCACAATCCCACGGAACCCCAAAGGTTTTGGCTACGTAACATTTATGCACCTGGAAGCCTTAAGACAGGGAACCTTTGTTAAGGATGATACATTATTAGTGCGCTGTGAAGTCTCTACCCGCTTTGACATGGGTGGCCTTCGGAAGGAGGGTTTCCAGCCACGAAGCACTGATGCAGGGGTGTAGCATCCATTTGCTTGTGTTAAAAAACTAGGAACCATATGGAGAAATGGTGTCTTCCTTGCACGGTTCCAAACAAGCAGTGGGAAAGGTGGAGCATCTAGCAGCACATGTCTTATTGAGGTCACTGTCCACTTCTTACTGTCACAAATATCTGAGGTAGTTTTCATAGGAATCTACATGTTCCCAGTGTCTTCAGAAACTTAACATTTGAAGAGCCTGTTGCTCATGTGTTTGTCAGGGCACCTCTTTACTCTATTTTCATGGGCTTTTTTGTCCATATACTTTACTGTAAAAAGGCCAGAGTTAGTGTGCTGAAGCTCAATCATTTAATGATCCTAGGTGCCTTAAAAACTTGAGGCTGTTTTTAGGACATGTATGCAGCATAGTAAATGAGAGAATCACTACTGCCTTTGCTGATGCCAGGGAGACAGTTACTGCTCTGGTGTGGAGTTCTCATTTTTATGATTCCTGTGAATTTCAGAAGCTCTGAACCGAGATCCCTGGAAAGCTTAAGTTCTCATGTCCTCCCTTTCCCATTGTTCACTAAGGATCCAGGGACTGGTTTAACCCTTACTTATTTAGTGTGAACATATTGTCTGTTGAGCACCAAGTGTTTCTCTCCCGCTTGCATATTTTGAGGCTCCAGGCAGCAGCTTCAGTTTGTAATGCTGTGTTAATGTGGTTGCCAACTGTTAAGTGTTATTGCCATGTAACCTTTCTTGACTGTTCGTTGAAGCTTGGTTTCTCACCCCTGTGCATATCTTCTGTTGCTTGCAAACACAAAATCACCAGCACAAACATTAAAAGTAATTCAGTTCATCAGCCATTAAACGGCATCTCATGAATGACAACAGAAACTCTTAGAGCCAGGACACTTCAGCCCTCTTATGTACCTTTTGATTTAGCTTAGCTAATTGAAATACGGTTGATTTCCTCAAGGGGCTAGAGAAATGGCTCAGTGGTAAGAGCACTGGCTGTTCATCCAGAAGACCCTGGTTCAATTCCCATCACCTACATGGCAGTTCACAAGTGTCTGTAACTCCAGTTCCAGGGGATCTGATACCCTCACAGAGACATACATGCAAGCAAAACACCAATGCACATAAAATAAAAATAAATAAGTAGATAAAAATTGATTTCCTAGTCCAGCTCAGTGCATTGATAAGCCTGTTCTGTGGACTGTATTGGCATGGCCAGGTGTTCCTAATATGGAGAGGTGATTGTTGTGCTGCTGTGTATTTGTTAATGGCCTGTTCGTACACGACACTGTGGAATCCAGTTCTCAGGAAGCCTGATTAGAGCCTTTATAAGAACCGATGGGAATCTGTCTACTGCTTGCTGTTTACACAAAATTAAGTTTTATGGCAATTTTTAAAAAAAAGGCATTTTTATCTCCAGTTGAATCAGAGCCCCTGACCAGTGCTCAGATCTGCTGTGCTTTCCAGAAGACGCTGAGAGACCTTGACTGACGGTTCTGGTTTTCAGTTGCAGCCTGTCCCCTGCCATTGTCACTTCTTTTTGTTTTTCTCTTTGCTTCCATTCCACCCATAAAGGTAAAGTAAAGATCCTGTCGCTCACTATTAGCACAAGTTCATCATGGGTCATCAGTTGGGTTTCCTGGTACTATGTGTCCCTTAGCTGTGCTTCTAGCAGACCTGAGATGCTTGCAGTACCTCCTACCTAGGGAAACCTGCATGGCCCCTTCTCCTGTGCTTGTTTCCCAGTGAGTACATAAATACAGGGTTTTCTGAAAGTAAGCAGTAGTTATTTTTGTATTTATTTAGAAAATGCCTGAAGAAGATTTACGCAGCTACTTGAGGACTTACTTTCTTTACGTATTCTTAATTTTTTAATGTGTTCTATAATAAGCATTTTATCTGGAGAAAGTTAAGTGTCACCACAGAATATCAGCTCCCCTCCCCCTTCGAGTTGAAAAAGGAAATGATATTTTAATACTTCCTGATCACTTTTCTATTTAAAAGATGTCTGTATTAGGTAGTAAGAAGAGTCATTTCATGCCTTGGGTTTGAATTTTTTTTTTAAACTCCAGCATCTTTAGTTTTTTTGCTTAAGTTAAACTTTTCCCATCTTGCAGTTTGTCCTTCTGTAAAGCAAGTTGGACTAGCTATTTCTAGCATCTGTGTTGAGCAGTTCAGTGCTAGCAGCAGAACACTGACAGTGCTCACTAAAAGGCTTCACCTGTTGGAAACTGGTATGGCTGCCCCTGCTACTCACAAAGGCTTTACTTCAGCAGAAGTGCATCTGACTTCCAGCATTTGGTGTCTGTAAAAAGCCAACCAGTTCTTTTATGATACTTAGTCGCCATAAATTCAGAGTAAAAATAAGCTGACATTCAAAGCCAACTCATGGTTGAGTCTTACCCTAGAAAGCTGATTTCTTTATACACACTTTTTAACCACCTCCCTCCTGCACATTCTGTCCGTGAGAACCTATATAATCTAGAGCGTATTGGCCACCTTTTCTTACCAAACTAGAACATTGCTATTTTTAAAATTGTTTCTTAGAAAAAAATTTCAACTTTCTATTGGAGGTTTTTCTCCAAGTAAAATATTTTCTTATTAGAAATCAGACCAGATTATGGTTGTAGTTTGGTTATTGGTTACTGTCCATTGGCTGTTACCATTTCTAGCCATTCAGCTTTCTTTCAGAGAATGAAGAGGAGGGAAAAGTGAACTAGAAGTAAAGAAGTGCTTTTTCACCCTAATAAAATCTAACTGACAGGGGTTGGGTGTTCTCTAACAGTTAAATTCTGTGACTGTGTAAAGTTTAATTCGTACCAGGATCAAGCAAGGTTAAGACTTAACTTGCGAATTATGCCTGCAATTAGAATATCTTCTCTTTACAGAGAAGTTGCTTGTTACTGCTTTATCTGGAGTTTCTTTAATTCTCCTGTGACCAGAACATGTTTTAATTACTAGAGAGGTTACTAACTTAAGACTTTGAAGTGCCTCTCTCTTTCTCTCTCTCTCTCTCTCTCTTATTAACCCTCTTCTGAGTTGCCTCAAATGTTCTCCATTGTCTTCACATAAAATGCTATTACAATTTTTGTGGGATGTTTGTTGATTAGTTTCCGTGGTGCCTGAAGGGAATCAATAGGGCAGAGTCAACAGTCATCTGATCATCTGTTGAAATACTGACATGTCAGCATTCTCAGGATAGCTCTCATTTGCTTCATAATCTGTGTGATTATCTGTGGAATGCCTTGGTGCTTCCCGATTCCCAGAATCCAGAAACATGAAGCCAAATGTGACCAACCTGAACAAGTTCACACTGGGTCACAAGCCTTGAAGTGACTAGAAAGGGATTAACCAAGTTATTTCTCTGAGTGCCCTATGTGTCCTTGAAGCTCAGCCCCCACCCCTACCCAAAAAGTTCAGGTTAATAAAAAAAAAAAATACAACATGAAAACAATTCTAGTTGAAAATGTTGTAGAATGTGGAGAGGTGCTCCTTTTCCTGCCCTATGTCTCAGCAAAACTAGCCCTGCCTGGCAGAGAAAGGAAGGGTGGCCCGCTGGACACTTGCCACCCAGAATGTAGCTCTGTCTCCTGAAACCCCGTTCCCTTCATCTCGGGCCCCAGGAGAGGGCAGGGCTCCCGTTCTGGTCACTGCTGAATCCCCTCTTAGAATGCTGTGTTTGGGCCTGGCCAATAGTAACAACACTTACTGAAAGGCAGCATGGAAGCTGACTGGGTTCTGGGTAGCCTACTTGTCATGTAAGTCACTTGGTAAAGTGAATGTTCTCTTTTCTGCTCTTCCCCCAGGACTTTTTATTATGGCAGTCTCATAGATGGAGATATACTTAAAACCTAGCAAACATCTGCTACCTAGGATCTGCAGTAACATTTTGTTAGGTTTGCTCTGTGATGTAATAATGTAACTTGTAGTTTTTCTTTAAGACTGTTTAGTCCTGAACTAATTAAACAACATGTAGTTGTCTAAAATTCTCCTTGGAAACTTGTGATATTTTATTGTAACCACCACTTTATGCCATCTTGAAATTTGTGTGAATGTTATACGGAATTTTAATCTTATTCCTTTGTCTACAGGAGTATTTTTCATAAAGGATTTATTTGGAAGTTTCTGGGTATACAGAATTTTTTTTAAGATTTTATTTTATATATAGATATAGATATATAGATATATAGATATATACACACACACACAGTATTCTGCCCGCTTGTGTGCCTGCACGCCAGCAGAGGGCACCAGATCTCACTATAGATGGTTGTGAGCCACCATGTGGTTGCTGGGAAATGAACTCAGGACCTCTGGAAGAGCAGACAGTGCTCTTAACCTCTGAGCCATCTCTCCAGCCCTATACAGAATTTTCTAATGTTATTTCCTTACTTGATTATACATTTTGCTAATATATATGATTTCAGGATTATGTTCCCTGGAGACTAAAGATGAGTGATTTGGCATATAAATGCTATGCTAAATTTGGAGTCAGAAGATAGATTGCTGTGAAGGTCTCTGTGGCCTCTATGGCCAGCAGAATGATGATCCTCAGGATGCAAAAAGGGAGTTCAGTTCAACATGATGAAGTGGTTATTGAGTCAAACTTTGGGAGTCTGACTCCAAGTGATTTGGTTTTGGCATATTTAAGCACAGCACAATTTGGCGAAACCTTTTCTGGTGATAACTCAAGCCTGTGTATACAATATAGCATACATAAATCTCTTTGAGGAGCAAAGTAAGCTAAATAAAGATTGGACATGGCCACATCCAAACTTTATAAAGTACATGTGACACCTGCCCTGATAGTTTCTATAGACTGACTGAAAAAAAAAAAAAAATAGCTTTTGATAAGGGTCTACAAGAGGGCCACATGTGGTCTCCTACCTCACAGATTGCACAAGGGTCCCCAATCTAGGGTGCTTGTCTGTTCCCAGCCTTCCGGGTGGATGAGAGATTGCGCATTCCTTCCCTTAAAGGAACAGCCCCATGTGCTAGCATTCCAGGTTCCCCTAATGCTAATCTGTGAGGCCAAGGAGCTCCATGCCTCCTACAGATCTTGCTGCTGACTGGCCACAGAGGTTTTATTTGTGATAGTTTATCTACCTGCAAAGTGGGAACTAAAATTTCAAATATATATATTATCAAGTGGGTAATACTAATGCTTAGGTCTATTTCTGAAGGTATTTTATAGACTTAAGGAGACTGCTTATAGTTTTGTAACTGAGAAACTGTAGAAGGAAATATGACTTTATAAATTAAACTGCAGTGGTCAGATGGTCATGCCTACTGTGCTCAGAATTCTGGTGTAGAATTGCTAGGTTGTCTTTCTAATGCTCTGGACTCGGAGAATATGCACGGTGTGGGGGGAGGTGTAAAGATGGGGTGTGGATGGTAACAGTCTTGGGTTTCGGGCGAGCAGGTTTGTTTAGGGATGAATTGAAATCATTGTCCAGATTCAGTGCCCCACACTCAGCACACAAGCCACGTGATGCTGTGCAGAGCAAGCCCTGCTTGGGCCCTACCTGCTGCTGCCTTGCCCCACCTGGTCTCCCGCAAGCCAGTACAGCTAACTGCAGAACTGACCGAGAGGGAAGGCGTGAGGTTACTGTGCTGTTCAGGCTCTCTGCAGGCCACCTAACACACGGCATCTTTCCAAACCCAGGCCACAGTTGTGCACTCCCGTTCATCTCAAAGGCGTCTGGAGTTCTGTCTTTCATTTGTGTCGTAGCCATAAAAATATGGCCAAAACAACATGCCTTGAATTTTCTGAATATAAGTGTAGACTGGTATACCTTCTTCCCTCCTTTACTTCCTTATCAGACTGTATATTGCACAGTACCTTTTGAGTACTTAATTGAAATATATATATATATTTGTAAATGGTTTTAATAAAAGAACTAGGTTAATTCGTTTCCGTGTTATTCTGTTTGGGGTGCTGGGCCTCACTGTGATGAGTAGAAAACAAATACCAGGTGCTAATTTCTATTTAAAATAAAATAAAAAAAAAAAAAAGAAACTTCAAATACCTTGGCCCATAGGTAACAATAAATGAGGACTCACTGTAGTGCCTGATTTTGGCAATGATTTCTGGCCTGAAGTTTCAAGTCTGTCTGAAACACAAGCCCAGAGACATTTTCCTATAGCTACTGTAGGCCCAGTGAAAAACAGGTGACCACGTGGCTTTATTTCCAGAGAAAACTGGCAGGGTCTCCATTCCCATTTCCAAACCTGTGGGCTCACTTTGCAAACTCCCCTAATGTTTTGTTTCTTTGTATGGGTGTGTGCCCATATGGCTATATGTGGCTATATGTCTGCATACCACGTGTGTGCCAGGTCTCTGGGAGGCCAGGAGAGGGCATTGGATCCCTTGGGACTGAAGCTAGAAATTATTGTGAGCTCTCATTTAGGGTACTGGGAATCAAATAGCTGTCTTCTAGAAGAGCAGCCGGCGCTCTTAACTGAACCATCTCTCAGTTGTGAGGTGTTTGCTTGCTTGTTTGTTTTTAAATTAAAGCTGCTTCCATTATAAGGCTACTAAAAGTTTTGTTAGAAGCCTTTCTGTCTAAAACAGATGAAGCATCCTTGAGTACAATATGAAAGCTGATAGGACAGGTAAGTGCTTTAAAAGATGCCACCTTAATTTCATTTTATTTTATTTTTTTCAAGACAGGGTTTCTCTGTGTAGCCTTGGCTGTACTAGACTCGCTTTGTAGTCCAGGCTGGCCTCAAACTCACATAGAGATCCTCCTGTCTCTGCCTCCCTGAGTGCTGGGATTACAGGCGTGTGCCACCATCCCCTGCTGCCACCTTAATTTTAAATTCCAAACACAAAAAGCACTGTTAATTGTGGAATATCGTTTTTAAAAATAATTTTAGCAAATAACAAAACAAAAAATTATTTTAGCATTCCCACTTCTACTTTTAGGTAAGCTGTTCATTCTATGAGTGACTGCTTTCATATTTTTATTTATTTAATTTTTTGTTTGCATGTACATGTTCCTGTGTGTGCATGTTGGGGCCGTGCATGCACATAACATGCTTATGGGTACGTATGCACATATGACCATGTTGGTGTTACATCTGCAACATATGTGCAAATGGAGGCCAAAGGTCAATTTCAAGTGCCTTCCCCCATGATTACCCCCCCCCCCCCTTATTTTTTGAGACAGGGTCTCTCTCTAGAACTCACCAATTTGGCTAGACTGTCCAGTGAGCGCTGACGATCCACTTTTCTTGGTCTCCACCCCCAACAATGCTGGAGTTATAGCCCCGTGACTGGCTTTCTTAAGACTTGAGTGCTGGGGATTGAACTCAAATCCTCACGCTTGTTCCTCGGGCCTTTTCTGCTGATCCATCTCCCCAACCCACTTCCATATTTTTATTTCATTTTATATTAAGACCAGCATAAGTAAGAGTGCCTCACAATGTAATACAGCCTTACAAAAATAGTCCTTGAGTGTGTTCTCTGTCTCTGAAATGCCTGAGGCAGCCAAAGGGGGAAAGGTTTGCTGTGGCTCCTGGTGCAGCATGATTCAGTCCTTGGCTGACCCTGTTGCTCCCTGCCTCTGGCAGCACAAGAGTCTGTGGTTGAGCTGTACGCAAGCTAGAAATGAGCAAAGAGGCAGGCTGGGCCTCAGAGTCCCTGCGTGCATATTCCCAATGCTAAGTTCCTCCAACAGGCTCCACCCCCTTTTTTTTTTTCTCCAGTTTTTTGAGACAGGGTTTCTCTGTGTAGCCCCGGCTGTTCTGGAACTCACTTTGTAGACCAGGCTGGCCTGCCTTGAACTCACAAAGATCTGCCTGCCTCTGCCTCCTGAGTGAGTGCTGCAGTTAAAGGTGTGTATCTTTACTGCGAAGCAAGGCCCCACCTCATAAAAGTTCCAATTTTTGCCTCAGGCTGTGAACCACATGTGGTCTTTAGAGGGCATTTTCACAGCCAAACCATAGCAGTCGAGGTGGAGATGTTTACATTTTAATATAAAACTAGGTCTGCATCCTCCAAAGAGCTAACTAATAAAGCCGCACTAAAAGGCAGATTTCAAAATCCTGAAAAATAATGGTATTCTCGTATTAATACCAAGGGGCATGTGCTAATTTTATGAAATCTAACTGCCTTTTCGCTTTTGACTAAGATCACATGCAGTAAAACATTTTATGACATCCTTATGAGGGAACCAAGGGATGTTACAAGTAGCTCAAGGGAGAAGGCGAACAACAGACACAGAAATGCTGGACTACATATGTAAACAGACGAAAGGCAGCTTACTTTGGAGTTGGGGGAGGAAAGCCAAAAGAACAGGGCGCAGTCCCCCCTCTAAAACCAACAGTTACCTTGCATTGCTGTGAACTATCTACAAGGCAGAGCTGTACAGCAAATCTCAGAACTGCAGAAAGCTGAAGCTGTTATGTACCAGACTTGTCGATGCTATTTCTCTGAAGCATTTGTCCCCACTCCCTGTGCTAAAAGCTCAGTGAAATGTGTGGATGGTAGGTAAATAGACGTGGGCCCAGTGGTGCAGGCCTACCATCCCAGCTACTTAGGGAGTAGGTGGAGCTTCAAGGCCTGCCAGTAAGACGGTAAGCCTGACATCCCAGGACATAGTTGAAGGAGATCACTGGCTCCTGCAAGTTGTCCTCTGACCTTTATGCAAGCATGCGCTCATAAAAACAAACAAACAAACAAACAAACAAAACCTATATTTTCAGATATATTTTCAATGAGGGCTAAGAAGGTAGCCCATTGGTAGAGCACTTTCCTAACAGGTTTGAAGCCCTAGATTCAATACCCAGAACTGAAGGGGAAAGAAATAAAAGAGATCGAGGTTCCGTTTCAACCTATGATACTCTGTCAATTAGCACCTGCAAAATTCCAGACTAGAAGACTGCCTGACAGGACTACAGAGCAAACCCAACGTAAGAACGATACAGAAGGTTCCAGCCCGTTAAGAGTGCCTGCTGCTCTTCCGGAGGACCCGCAATTCAATTCCTAGCACCCACATGGGCACTCGCAAACATCTGTAACTCCGCTTCCAAGGGTTCTGATCCCTTCTTCCGGTCTCACTGTGTGCACAGTAGATAAGACTATATGACTCTTTTTAAGAAAGAAAAAGAA